CCTGGCCGCATCAGAAGCACCTCTCTGGCGAGGAATGGATGAACGTGGGGAGAAACGCGCGCAAGGAGTGGTTTGACGAAGAGGAGGACGACGGCGTAGATTGGGAATTGTATGGAGATGGTGAGCAGTAAGTAGTCGAATGGGACTTCGACTCTGGCAGGGGGGTAATGAAACATTTATCTTTCTGTTCCATTCCTTGTATTACTAGCGCCCATACTGGCACCTGTCTTAGCGCTCACCCGCAGGTTGAACATTATGTAGCTTACATAATGGGGTCCGTGCGCACTTCGTGCCTGGTATCGTACCACTACGTTTCTTTCTTCACTAACACGACCACATAGACACGATGGTCCGTGCGCAGTCGGTACTTGTATAAGTAGTTGTACCATTAGTCGGTCGAACCCTAAGTTCGACCTGGTTATTCATTCAAGTCTCTGCTCCTCTTCGCTTGGGGTAGTGGTCATTCTCGACTTCCTCGCTCGATCTTCAGGACGACGTACTGTCCATAAGTCCTCGCTCGTTGTCTACGAGTCAGGCATCAGTATAGGAGTATAGACCGTTGTATCACTCTTCGCGACTTTCAGTCATACCTACATCCGACCTGGCACCTCCACCACCATTGGCACCTTCGAACGCAGCTTCGAACTCCAACCCCGCACCGCCTGCACCTACGAATCCTTCGACTACTACCGCGTCCTCCTCAAGCCCAGCTCCCTCTAACACTACGAACATGAGTCAGAACGCGAACACACCATTGATGCCCCCGCGCGGTCATTCAACGGCACAGAGCTTCGACCCGTCGGAAGTCCGTTCGCTTCGGCGTTACTTCCAGGACCTCGAAGTGTTGTTCACCCAGTGTCAGATTACCGACGACGCAGCCAAGAAACAGTGGGCCGTTCGGTATCCATCGATCGATGTCGCCGACTTATGGGAAACCATCGAGTCCTTCATCGACGTAGCCAAGAGCTACAACGACTGGAAAGCCGACGTACGAGCACTCTATCCTGGTGCCGACGATACAAGAAAGTGGTCGCTGGCGGACATGGATCAGCTCATTGGGGAACGCGCTCGTATCGGGATTCACAATGCGGCAGATCTAGGCTGCTATTACCGCGACTTCATGGCCATTACGAAACATCTCATCGCACAGCACCGACTCTCCACTATCGAGCAAAGTCGCGCATTCCTTCGAGGATTCCAGCCAGCGTTGCTCACACGGCTCGAGACCCGACTGCATCTCAAGCACCCCGATCACTACGCCGACGACCCATACACCATGGCAGAAATTCACGCGGCGGCTACGTTCATCTTACACGGTACATCGAGCACACCTACGACAGCGGTGAACCAAGCTACCGCTTCGACGTCGAACACTTCGACAACGGTGCCCCCCGGGATGATCAAGACCGAAGACATCTCGATGATCATCGAAAGCCTGTCGAGGACGATTGCGACGCTTATTCAGCCGACGACACACGCTACGCACAACCACGCCCCCGCACCGAGACAACAAGCTGCCGTCCACATCCACGAGAACAGCGGAGTTGAACAGACGTGCCACTACTGCGGCAATCGTGGCTGCAGGGTAGGCACCTGCGAGTTCGCGGAGATCGACATTCGGGACGGCAAGTGCAAACGGAACACCGAAGGCAAGATCGTCCTTCCGAACGGAAGTTTCTGCCCCCGCACTATCCCTGGTCTCACAATACGAGATCGAATCTACGAGTGGCATAGAAGAAATCCCGCAGCACCCGCCGCTCCAACGATGCTCTTCGAGATCGACGATCGCTCGACTATGCAAACATTCACGCTCAACACCAGCAGCAGGATCGAGGCGCTCGAGCGAGAACTCCTTCAGCTTCGGAAGCGAAGGGAGGTCTTCGACGGCGTCGAGATTCTACAGCGGAAGAAGCCTACGACGACAGCCGTCCCGAAGAGCGCGGAAGCCTCGGGATCTGGTACATCGAAAGGAGTGGCGGCGCCCCCGAGCACTTCGACAAGCACGGCCCCGCCTCCGACGATACCAGCAGCAGCACCCGCACCGCCTTCGCCGCCTACACAATCCACGTCTCATCCTATTACTACGTCCGCTCCCCCAGCACCACCAGTACACCCCTTCGCAAACGCTCGTGACGCAACCTACGCCCCGCCGAACGTTCGAAACTTCGCAACTCCGCCGAAGCCCTCGAACGACAAGGGCAAGGAGCCAGCATACAAGACCATCGTCCCCGTTGTCCAGCCGAAGCTCGCTGAAGAA